CTCAAATAGTGGGACTTCTAAACAGCCTCAAGAGTTTCCTCTCCCTGAGCCTATGCCCTTTTGTTTAGACCCTTTGAGAGATGCACACCCTTTTCTCCTTAGTTCCTCTGCCCCTATTCATTTATTAGGCTGAGACTTCTTAAAGAAGTATCATGCTGGAATTTCTTTCTCCCAAAAGGGGGAAATAATTCTAGAATTTCACAATAGTCATCAAAGTAACCAATCAGGTGAATTAAGTGATCCTTTGACATCTTTTATTTGTTTTGCCTCTGATGGCACTAGAGCTAATTCTGGAAACACTGATCATTTGTCCCTAGTGAATCAGCTGCCACCCTCCTTATGGGCAAAAACTCCAATTGATACTGGCAAAATTCACAGCGCACCTCCCATCAAGATTCAAATAGAGCCCTCAAAACCACTTCCAGAATTAATACTCCATAAGAAAAGAAGGACTTAAAGGCATAAAGCCATAAAAGAACATTACAAGGCTCAAGGTCTCATTATCCCTTACACCAGCCTGGTAAGAAAACCTAACGGCTGAGGGTGGAGGTTCATCCAGAATTTTTGAGCAGTAAACAACATTGTTATCCCTTAACACCCCGTTGTTCCTAATCCCCGTACATTACTAACATCCATTCTTACTGGAAGTAAATTCTTTACTGTTACTGATTTATGTAGTCCATTCTTTAATATTCCAGTTGATGAAGCTGGCCAATACCTTTTTGCTCTCACTTGGGAAGAAAAACAATTCCCCTGGACAGTAATGTCCCAAGGTTTTGCTGAGGGTCCTTCTTATTTCTCACAAATCCCAAAGGCTGATCTGGATTATATAAAGTTCCCTAGAGGTTCTACTATGTGGATGATTTGCTTCTTTGCTCTACTTCTCAATCATCCTCACAGGAAGACAGTATTCACTTGCCAAAGTTTTTAGCCTGAAAGGGACATAAGGTTGTCAAAGAAAAATTGCAGTTTGCCCAAACCCAGGTTCGATATTTAGGGCATCTGATATCAGAACAAAAGCTACATGTAGATCCAGATACACTTCATGATGCCCTAAGTTTTCCCAAACTCCAAACTAACCGCCAACTGCAACGTTTTCTCAGGATAGTTGGTTACTGCCAAAATTGAATTCCAAATTTCTCTCTTATGGCCAAACCTCTGTATGCTTTATTAAACAATAACAACCATGACTCAAACTTATGGGAAGAACCAAACAATATAGCCTTTAAGGCCTTAAAGTTGAGTCTGATGAACCCGCCTGCCCTTGAGAATCCCAATTATCAAATTCCCTCTTTTCCTTTTTGTATATGAAAAGGAAGAGAATGTCCTTGGCGTACTCACCCAAAACCACGGGGTCCACCATCAACCCACACTGCATTATTGCCAATAACTGGACCCTGTGGCACAGGGATATCCTGCTTGCCTTAAAGCCATTATGGCCACTGCCCTTTGGGTTAAGGCCACCAAGAAAACTGTGGGATCCCCTCTAACTATTTTTGTACTTCATGCAGTAGAAGCCCTCCTGAATTCTCATCACCCTCAATATTTCTCAGCCAGCTGCCTCACCTCCTATGAAGGAAGTCCTTTTGTTAACTGCTCCTCGCATAACTCTTTTATGCTATAATAACCTTAACCCTGCTACTCTTCCCCCCTCTGTCACGAAAGAAGTCCCTCTTGACTGCTTAACACTGACTGATCACCTCCTGACTCCTCATGGTGATTTACAGGAAAGATCTCTCAGTAACACTGACTTCTCATGGTTCACTGATGTTCTTATTTAAAAGGTAACAATGGCAAATATTATGTTGGGTATGCTTTGCAACTCCTTTTGATGTTGCTGAGGCAGCATCTTTACCAATGGTTACTTTGGCCCAACAGGCTGAATTATACACTCTCAAATGGGCTTGTACTTTAAATAAGGGCAAAACTGCCAATATTTATACTGATGGTACACACTTTAAGAGTAGTTCATGATTTTGGAATACTGTGGAAGCAACGTGGCTTCCTTACTTCCAGCAGAAATAAAATTCTAAATGGCTCTTATGTTCAGGAATGCAATATTTTTATCTGCCACTTTAGCTATTACTAATATTCCAGGGCATTCTAAACTTTACTCTCTGGAAGCTAAGGGAAATCACTTTGCTGACATTTTTGCAGAGAATGCTGCCCTGAAAGGGGCTAACAGCATTCTGTTGGTCCAAAGGAACATTTCCCCAGATGATAACTTAGAAAAACTGGCTAAAGAAGGCCAACAACTGGCCTCAGAAAAGGAAAAACAAGATTAGAAATTCAAAAATTGTTGCTTTGATAAAAAGAGAAAGCTCTGGTTTAGACTAACTAACAACCCAGTCCTACTGGAGACTCTAAAATCCCCATTCATCACCCCTGTACATGCATTAAACCACTGGTCTACTGACAAAATGACAGCATTCATGAATCAGTATTGATGGGGAAACACTGACAAATCCACCAAAAGTATCTACCTCACTTGTCCCACTTGTCTGAAATACAACCCAAAGAAGTCTGTTTGTACCGCTCCTAAACAACTTAAACTGTCCAATGGACCACTCAAGGTCTGACAACTTGCTCTGGCTCATGGATATAAATACGTTTTAGCAATGGTCTATGTGTTTTCACATACAGACAGGCCTCCCTTGCAGACAGGCTACTGCTTCTTCTGTGGTTAAGGTCCTTTTAGAAAAGAGTATCCCTACCTGGGGAATTCCTCTCAAATTTCATGGTGAAGGAACACATTTTACTGATCAGGCCCTTCAACAAGTCTGCTATTTAGCCAGTTTTACAACACTTTCACTGTGCTTTCCACTTTCAATTCTCCTTTAGGTGAATGCACTAATGGCATTATTATGACTCAATTGGCAAAATTTGTAAAGGCCCTCCAGATACCTCGCCATTGGTCCTTCTAAATCTCAGATCCACCCCTTTTGGAACTCATAAAGCTCTCACCCTTTAAGACAGCCACAGGATGCTCAATGCACTTGGCTCTTGCTTCTTTTGACTCACAACTGATAAGAGGAGAGATACTCCAATATTGCAAAGGTCTAATTGCTTCTATTAAAAATAACCATGTTTTGGTAGAGCAATCTTTTCATAGTGTACTTGTGGGAGATGATGACCTTAAACATCACCTGGCAACCTGGATATTTTGTCTATTGGAAAGAAACACCTCCAGAAGAACTCTCTTCAACCTCACTGGAAAGGCCCCTATCAGGTACTGCAAACCAGCCCTTGTGCTGCCAAACTCCAAGGAGTGGACTCTTGGATTAATGTGACACACTAAAAACTGCACTGAACCCTGACTGGCCCTGCACATCGTCTGATGACCTGAAGGTAAAGGTTTCCCATAATTGAAGCCACATCTGATGAGACAGCTTTCCCAAGATATCCAGACCAGGCCTGTTGGAACCTTGTCTGCCAAACCTTTGATGATGACATAACACTTCAGATGCTCTCCAATCTCTATGATCTTTATAACATAGAGACTTTAGATTAAAAGCGCCTGAAAGTTCTTCCTCCTACCTCTCCTTGATACTTGAATGTGACTTCAATAGGTTTCCAATCTGTACTTTCTCTCCAATGTGAGACACCACACCCAGCAAAGGCCCCTCCTGGCATTAAGGGACAAAAAGCCACTGAAACCAGAAAACCTGATTCTTGATCAGCAGTGCTTTCAGAGAAAGACCTTGATCAAAAGGGGTAAAATGTAAAATATTAACAAACAGAAACTTCAATTAAATAGAGTTGGGAGACCAGAAGGCAGAGCTCTCATGCCCTGTGATGACAGCAGAGCACAACATGAAAAAGAAAGACTCCTCTTCCTTCCTGGCAAGGACTCAGCCAATGAAAAACCATGGACTCTGTTTACTATAGCCCTCCCAACTTCCTTTTCCCCTCTCTAAAAGCATTCTCCTTCCCTTGCTGTGCAGGAACTTGCACGTGGCTCATCCATGGCTGCAGACCCCAAACTGCACTGATGACCTTATTAAGTCTTTATAGCCAATATATGAGTCAGAACACACTTTGTTTTCATTTATTAAACTTGACTCCATAAGTAAGCAAAAGAGTTGAGCCTATAGTGATTATACCCCACTTCTCTAGCTTGAGGAAAGGATCCAGTGAGAAGCAGGATCTCCTCTAATGGGAGAGGAGGCAAGAGTGAGGGGAGAACTATAAAAGGTCTGACTCTCTGGGATAACTGCTGGAATTTCCATCAATCCAGTGCATGCTATTCTAAAACCAATCCTACTCCTACGGCTCTCAATGAGACTAAATAGATGGGGACCCACAAAGCTTAGCCATCGGTCTACAAGGATCATGAAAACTGTCATCTAAAGCCACCCTACTCCTGAAAGGAAGAATACCTGATCTTTTTGTCCTAGGGCCATCTCTCTCTTTTTTTTCCCCTTCTCTCTCTCTTCTTAAATTCATCCAATAAATAGGCCTCATTTTCTTAGAGTATCCAGTACCAAAGAATGCTTCAGTCAGCCAAACAATTCTAGTGACTTAGCAAAAACTGAAAGAGGAAAGAAAAGATTTATAAATACTGCAAGTTAGTCCAGAAGTAATCCTGCAACAGGCTGTTAAGAACTACCCATTTGTTGTTCCTCTCTTCACACTTATCAAGAAGAAGGTAGTTACAGGCAGTCTGAGAATGACCAATAGAATAGAAGAAACCAGATTTTCAAAATGGAGGTACCAAATTATGACCAAAGTCAAGTGGTCTCCACCTTTTTTTCAGTCTGAAAATGTCTAAATTAAATAGCTTTGTTTTCTACATTGCAAGTGCTATATTAAAGATTAGTTTCAGTAAGCCAAAAACCAAAAACAAACAAAAGAAAAACTGGGCCTAGTTTTTATCTTGATAAACTCAATATAAAAAGCATTTTTGGTTTTTCCTTGATATATACAGCATATAACTATTCCTAACTAGAACACCTGATGAAGAAAATAAACAATCAAATTATGAATTTTTAAAAAATCACCTTGGATGAAATGATAGACTCTTCCTGGTCAGCATTTTTGCACTTTTTTCCTGTGTCTTGCTCTGCTGATATACTTTCTGTACTTCCTGATGAAATTAATCGCTTTCTTCCTTGCTGTGTGATGTTTACTTGGGTTTTGTCTTTGCAGATTCCTTCTTTTCCACTTTCTCGGATTACATTATTATCTTAATCACACACAAGTACATAAACACAAAGAAAAAGAAGAAAATTATCTCCTGTACCTTCAAATGTCAATAATCCATACCAAAAAAAAAAAAAAAAGACAGAAGGAAAGAAAAAGGATAAAAGAGCAAGTAAATTTAAAGTTCTATTTATATTAAGGCCAATCTCCAATCTGAAAATGCATATTTGCAAATCTCAAAAAGTATTAAGCAGCACCATGGCCAAGAGCTCCAGCCCTGAAATCATCCTGGCCAAGATGCTAATGTGGGCAGGCTCCATCCTTTAACTGTTTCACCTCACCTCTCTCAACTTTGGTTTCATCATCTGGAAAAAGGGAGTTATAATAATAACTGATGGAGTTATTAGGAGGAGTAAATGAGGTAAGATATATAAACTCTCAGAGTACCACATGTATGTTAGTTATCGTATACATTTTTTAAAATTTTGGCATTGAATTTCTCTAACAGAAAATCTGACATATAGCTATCCAATGAATTTTACATATACTTACTGAGCCTCTATCATCCACAGTGAGGAATACAACTTAAGTTACCTTAAACACAGATTAAGTACCTAAAGTAACTGAAAAGGAAGAGCAACCTCTACAAACTTCACTGATAAAGAAAACAAGTCTCAACAGCAATGGACACTGCATTGCCATAATACTTATTCAAGGTTCAATGTAGTGGGGAAACTTAAATCAGCATCATATTTTGTTAACAAATTCATGAATTGTCTAATCAGAAAAGAAAAAAGATCTGCTTATTTTAAGAGGAAAATCTTCATGGTTAGTTGTCTTTCTCCTCTACTTCATGAGGGCATAGACTTTCTGTGCCTTGTTCATTGTCCCCCATTTTGTGTCTCTAGTATCTAGACCTATACCTAACACAAAACTGATACTCAATGAATATGTTTGAGTAATTGAATTGTTAGCATACACAGAAATTGTCCAAAGATCCTTTGAGAGACTGGACAGGTATGTAAGGCAATCTGTAGTCACTATTTTAATGTTCTAAAGCAAAGGTTAGCAAACTTCTATAAAAAGCCAGAGAATAAATATTTTAAGCACTGTGAGCCATATAATATTTGTCACAACTATCCAACTCTGCCTTGTAGTGTGAAACCAGCCATAGACAATACATACATGGATGAGTATGGCTATGTTCCAATAAAACTTTCTTTACAGAGACAGGCAGTGGGCTGAATTTGGCTCATGGGCTGTAGTTTGCTCAGAGCTGTTCTAAAGGATATTCAAATGCCCTGAAATGACACACCCTCATTAAATTCAGAAAAGAAATACTAATAGAATATTGTCCATATTATTGAACAGGAAAATCACTGAACCAATATAAAAGTAATGTATTTATCAAAGGAAACTTATGAAAAAACTATCTAATAACTAAACTCAGCCTCAATTATTTAAATCTTTGTTTTGAATCTAAATTAGGGAACATTTCACATCATTTTAGAAACTGGCAGAAATAGGACTAAATAAAACTGACTATACAGTTTGGTGAAGCAAATGACCAAATATTATAACAGTTATGAATTAGTGAAACCAAGGGAAATAATCAACTATGATACTGTTTACTATGCTAGGAACTAAAAAACTGTATATTAAATAAGGCACAGCTTTTCCACAAATGAGAGTTCACCACATTCCAAGTGTCATAGATGTATATAAAATTCTAAAATTAAATATATATATATTTAAAATATCCAATTCTTTAAAATTCCAAATGATATACTACAAATATCCCTTCTAGGGACCAGAGCTCATTTTTTTTTTTTTTTTTTTGCATAGGAAGAAGTCATTTTGATATTGTTAAAATGTTCTTCACAAAGTGTATATAAAATATGTAAGTTAACTGGCTCGTAACAATCTTTATATCTGGCATATAAAATATTTTTCTAAATCCAGGATAGGTATACTTAAATGATAGAAATATAAAAGAAATTAGCTATTAGAGCAAATCAGTTTATTTTAAACAATTACTAACTGCATTTACTTACATGATCAGTTACACTGATACTATATGAATACTAGCTCAACTATATGCATATATGTCATTAAAATCACAACCATCCAATTTTATCCTCCAAAGAAACCACTCCTAACAGTTATAGTAACAATTTGATGCATATCCTTCTCAACTTTTTCCTAAGTATAAGCAAATATATTTACAAATACATAAATATATACAGGGCTAAAAGTATACATGCTATTATTTCTCTGGGATAAATACCTAGAATTGGAATTTCTGGACCAAAATGTGTTATACATTTAAAGATTTAAGAGATATTGGCAAATATCTCTATTTAATGTCTCTAAATAACTTTAAGAGGCTATACCAACTTATACTTCCACCAACCACGTTTGCTGATACCCATTTTGGTCAGTACTGAATATTATCAATTACTTAGATTTTGATGAGCTTAATAAACAGAAACTGGTATCTGGTTGTTTTAATTTACATTTCCCTATCTGATAGTAGTCATATATTTATTGGCTGTTTCTATTTATTCTTCTGTAGTACAGCATATAAAATGCCCCAAATTTCTACCAAGTTCTTTCTTTTGTGTTACTAAGTAGACAATTATTAAAAGCCTTCTATCTATTTTATAACTGTGACAGATAATATCTCCCAGTATATTGTTTGTCAGTCTGCTATTTGCCTCTGACTTTGTTTACAGTGTCTTTTGCATTAAAATTTTTTTTTACCTTTAATCTAAATAGATCTGCCAAATTTTCCCTTATGGTTCTAGGCTCCTCATCATCTTAAGAACGTCTCCCAGAAGTAATAAAAAATATTTCCCCATATTTTCTTCAAATGCCTTAATAGTTTCAATTTTTACATTGGTTATTAATTCAACAGAAGTTTATTTATGAATATGGCATGAGCAGTGAGTGCTCTATTATTATTTCTTCCAAATGGAAAGCTAATTCTCCCAACATCATATTTAATAATGATGCATCCTTTCCCCATCAATTTAACTGATAATTTCCTATATATTAAATGTGTGTTATTCTAATCTGCTTTGGGGTGTTTCATTCTTTTTTATTGGTCTAACTTACCTATTCCTATGCCAGAACTATCAACTACTAAAAGTAGGCACCAGCCTAGATTGTGAAAAAGGAAAGTTCTATAAAGAAATGAATATTTCTGTCATTCAAACTGTCCTTGAGCATATATAAAAAATCTCCTAATGCACTTTACACAATGCTGACATAGCTCTAATGTCAAAATCTGACATGGATGGCACAAATGGAGAAAAATACTAACCACACTTATGAATATAGATACAAACGTCCTAAACTAAGTATCAGCAAATCTAGCACAGCCTGAAAATAATAAGTCACCACAATAAAATTAACTTATTCCAGGAACACAAGCATGGTACAACATTAGGAAATCTACCAACATCATTAATTACATTATCATATGAAAATGCAGGACTGTTTCTATAACAAAATTTCTTTTCAAAGAATTCAACAGTTATTCCTGAAGGAATCAGTCAATCACCCTAAACATGATGAGTGTCAGAATCAAATACCAATCATATTAAGTGCTGAAACACTAACAGAATTACTGTTAAAATCAGGAATACAGATGCCAATTTTATCCATTTTTATTTAAAATTTATAGGATCTAACTTATGAAATAAGAAATGTTTTTAAAAGCAGTAAATAGATCAGAAGAGCCAAAATTATCGTAATTCTGTAGATATGACTATATAGCTAGAAAATCCAAGAGGCTAAAAAATGATTAGAATTAATTAGATCATTTAACAAGGATGCTTAAAATAAAGTAAATGTTTATAAAGAATAAGAAGAGCTTTAAGTAAACTGAACCATAATCAAATTAAACAATGTCAGTTAAATATTTATAATCTGTATTGAGTTGTCATACAGAAAATATTCAGAGTCCAAAATTAAGTGTAAACTAAATGCTTTGGGGACTACTTACTACTTCAACCTTATCAGCATGTGCCATTTTTCATAACTCCATGTTGGAGGATTAGAAGATGGGGAAAGAAGAATACTAAAGGGTTGCATGATAACCAGTGAAAATACAAAAGCTGCCTTTTCAATCTAGCAAGAGTGTCATACCCTAGGAGTTCTAACTTGTCCTGGGGTCTAGAAGGTTGAGGAAGCAAATGGAAGCAAAGAGAGGGGAGGCTCTAATACCCTTTGCCCAAATATTTATATTCACTTACCAATCACTAAGGGGCATGGAAAAATTTTAGCCCAGGCCTGAGGAGCTCATGATAACATCTAAGGGCTAGTACCTGGGGACCCAGAAAAGTAAATAAATTAGAAGTATACTGGTTGAAAGACAGAAAGGATAGCCTGATCACAGCAAACATTCACGTACATATAAGAATTAAACTAACAGTTAAACTGAGAAAAGATCTAGGAGAGAATGCAAGGGCATATTAATAAAATAAAAAGCAAAAACCAAACCAAACCAAACCCCCAAAGCATACAGAGGGTAAATTTAGGCGGCCATCCAGGTATAGTGATATGGTTCAGAGCATGGGCTTTAGAGCCAGACAGAACAAGGTCTCAATTATAGCTCTGGCATTTATTATGATCTTAAATAAGTTAGTTAACATCAGTTAACATTATTATTTGTCCTGTAATTAATGTCACAGATGGTTCCAAAATATCAAGACGGTTTCAGATAGTCTAAATAAAGATCAATGAACACAATAGAGTACTAAAGCTGCAAAAGACATAAAGTATCCTACATCTAAATGAGCCTAAAATACATCTTGGAAATTGATTTTTCAAAATCATTAGCATCGGTCTATTGACCTGGATGATATATTACTTAAACAAACAGAACAATAACAATAAAAACTACACAGCAGAAAAAGTCAAGTTATTCCAACCTTTAATTAGCTGGATTCAAGTACGAAACTGTCCTTTACTTCTAAATCTTTCTGTCTTTAAAGGAGTTAAGTAACCTAACTTCACTTTTTTAAGTATTCCCCCAAAGTCTGAATTTTTAAGACATGCCTGAATGCAAAGACTTTTTTATCTTATTTTGAAGCTTTAGCATTTTAAGTATATTATGTACTATATAATATTCCTGTCCAAATCAATGTCAAATTACTCATTTGTATTTTCAAGGTGAGGTGCCCAAAAAAGTGCTTCTTATTTTATATGGTGCATTTATCAAGTGAAAATTAATGGATATTTGCTTCAAATTTATAATTTGAAGCAAATATATTTTAGACGATTATAAGTCATGTAATAATGGTAGTACAGAAGCAGATAGAGTACAAAATAACTCTGAAAGAAAAGAACTTGTTTGCAAGGAGGCAGTTCACACTGGTCCAATTTTTGGTCAAATAATATTCTTTCTATATTAGAGAAAAGGTTCTACTGAGGGAAAGTGCTGCCCCCTCTCCACCACCATCCCCCATTCCCATCCTGCAAACTGAGAAGAACCACACTTAATGAGAAATGTTACTGATAAAAATATATTATACACGTAATGATGGGGGGTGGGGGATTGAAAACCACTGTCCTGGAATAAAACACTTAGCAGGAAATCTCAGATTTAAATACGAAAATTCTCTAGACTAAATCACATCTCCCTCACCACATGATATATAAGCTACTTTTGCCACAAGATCACTCTGATCCTACTACAATCTAAATTAGCATTAAATAAGGAATATTCTGTACACAACATATTTGATCAAAAACTTTAGAAGACTTCTATGACCACTACGCTGAACATGAGAAACAGTAAGAGTCGGAACATTCAACTAACATATATTGTGCTGTTAATTGTACTGTCAATTGTGCTGTTAATTCATAAAAGACAATGTTCAAGGTAAAAAGGCAGATTGACTGAACTGATCATCCCAAACAAAACCATTACAAATTTTAGACAAAGTATTTTTTTTAAAAAAATAACTATTTGAAGGCACTAGAGAATAACCAAAAAGGCAGAAATGAAGAGTCTGACCTTGAAAAATTAAACTACAGTCTGTGAGGTTTATCAATTTATGGCTTTTTCCCTGAGGGCATCCCCCAATTCGCAGGTGACAGAAAGCTGCAGCCTTACTGGCTTAAGTGGTCAGAGGGCTGAGTCTGAGGCTAACAGAGTAGGTAGAAAGTTAAAGACAAAATTCCAGAAGGAAGAAAGGCTTAGAGAGCCAAGAACCAAAATCTACATTTAAAACTGACCCAAATCCCTGGCTGGTTGCTAAACTACATGCGCAGAGACTGCAGCTGCTGTCCACACGGAGGAAACAGAGTTCAGGGCCTGAATTAAATGCCCATTAAGAAAACAGGAAGTAAATTTCCCATTAGGCCCAGTTAATTGCCTATTAGAATAAAAATATTTATACAGAGGGATATAAAATCAAAGTCTCTATACTCTATCATTCATAACATCCAAGAGCATAAACAAGAAAATGTGACCCATATAAAGGAAAATAAGCAGCCAATAGAAACTAAACCTGAGATGACTGAAAAGTTGCAAATAAAATGCAGACTGAATAATACAATGTAGCAAACATTTTAATAATCTTGAATCAATGGGAATACCCAGCAGATGACATAAATCATTGTGGTATCTGCTATAACAGTGAACTATGCTAGGACACTGGTCTCATCTTCTTTGACTCCTTCAGCACGTACCATTGTGTGCCTGTAGTTTTTTGTTTAATTAAATAATTAAATTAATTTTAAACACTCTTACTGTGCTTGTCTTTTACCTTAGACATGACCCCAACAGGTCTGTTTGAAAACCTACTTTAATAAGTCATCTGTATTGCTTTCAGTATTAAAATGAATAGTATTTTTCTACATATGTAAATGGCACATATTGTAATGGGTGAAACCTAGAGTTGACCAGGAAACAATTTTTCGAAAGTTTTTTTTTCCACTGTAGTATAAAGGGAGTGCTTTAGCAACATATATCATGATCCTTTAATATTTACACTTTTTGATAAACTAATTTCCTTTCTACAATTTATACCATAGTAATAATAAGAGTAGACTTCTAAGATATTCACGATTTTTAATCGCACTTATTAATGACACTGCAATTTGAGACAGTGAATAAATATTCAGTAATAAGATAATTCTTAAATGATGATGTATTAAGACCATGTATTACTGTGGTTGGCAGAATTCTAAAATGAACCCTCCCCAAGATTTCCTGCCCTAATCCCCAGGACTGTGAATAAGATGAGATATCATGCCCATGATTATGCTAGGTTATATGGCAAAATAAATGTTGCACCTATTTTTAAGGTTACAAATCAGTTTATCTTGGGTTAATTAAATGGGAGACTATGTACATGGGCCTGATCTAGTCAACAAATCCTTTAGAGCAGAGAGTTTTCTCAGCTAGCCAACGAGGGGAAATCAGAGAGACGCAAAGCTGGAGAAAGGTCTGTTGTGTTATGCTGGCCTTGAAAATGAAGTGCAAGAACAGAAAAATGCCCTCTAGGAGCAGAGTGAGCTCCAGCCAACAGTCAGCAGGAAAACAAGTCCTTTAGTCCTCCAACTGCAAGGAAGCAAATTCTCCACGATTGGAATAATCTTCTAAGGGGATTCTCTCATGACACCCAGGTCAGAACCCAGCCTGACAGACACTTCGATTTCTCTTGTGAAAATCTCAACAAACAACCCAGTTGAATCTGCCCGGACTTCTCATCTTTAAAACTGTGAGCTAGGGCTTCCCTGGTGGCGCAGTGGTTGAGAGTCCGCCTGCCGATGCAGGGGACACGGGTTCGTGCCCCGGTCCGGGAGGATCCCACATGCTGCAGAGTGGCTGGGCCCGTGAGCCATGGCCCCTGAGCCTGCGCGTCCGGAGCCTGTGCTCCACAACGGGAGAGGCCACAACAGTGAGAGGCCCGCATACCGCAAACAAAACAAAACAAAAAAAACTGTGAGCTAGGGCTTCCCTGGTGGTGCAGTGGTTAAGAATCTGCCTGCCAATGCAGGGGACACGGGTTCGAGCCTTGGTCCGGGAAGATCCCACATGCTACTGAGCACCGAAGCCAGTGTGCCACAACTACTGAGCCTGAGCTCTAGAGCCCACGAGTCACAACTACTGAAGCCCGCATGCCTAGAGCCCATACTCTGCAACAAGAGAAGCCATCGCAATGAGAAGCCCGCGCACTGCAACAAAGACCCAATGCAGCCATAAATAAATAAATAAATAAATAAACAAACTTATTTTTAAAAAACCTGTGAGCTAATAAATGGGTACTGTTTTAAGCCACTAAAAAATAATCATAATCATAATAATTAGCAGAATGGTGTTCGATAAATGGCATAAAATAAAAGTTTATGTTTAAAATTAGACTTCACGAACACATCTAAAGAAATGTTAGGCTAAGTTATACACTTACATAACTGCTATTCTGTCTTCATTTGTTCAGAAAAACTTTCAAATTCTGTTAAATATTTTCTTGAAACAAAACCTACCTCCACTGATGACTGGTAATGAAAGGTTCTGATCACTTAGATTTTCTGTTAACATCCACGCTGGAAGGATTCTTTTCCTCTGGGAAGGGTTTGGCTGTTGCTTACTCAAGTCTCTACTTTCATCTAGGAAAGACTAAAAAGGCACCTATATATTAATTGCTAAAAATAATCCTGCTTCCTTAATAAAACCATAACAATTATTTACTTGCAGAAAACTACCATTAAAAAAATCCATCTGGGGCTTCCCTGGTGGCGCAGTGGTTGAGAGTCCGCCTGCTGATGCAGGGGACACGGGTTCGTGCCCCGGTCCAGGAGGGTCCCACATGCCGCGGAGCGGCTGGGCCCGTGAGCCATGGCCGCTGAGCCTGCGCGTCCGGAGCCTGTGCTCCACAACGGGAGAGGCCACAACAGTGAGAGGCCCACGTACCGCAAAAAAAAAAAAAAATCCATCTGCAACTGTGGACTGAGTTGCTCAAAGTTCTCAAAGAAAGAAATTCAATATCTCTATTAGTTGAAGTGTTGGTCTAGTGTGATATTCTCTAGAGCTTAACTTACAAAGAGCAGAAGCATATCAATGCTATAAATTTTGTCATATGTCTGATACCAGTTGTCTTTTCTTTCCTTAAGGAACATGTTATAAATGGATGAGATCTTAAATTTCTTACCACACTATTTGCAGCGGTCGGGGTCTTTCCTATTTCTGTGCTTCTTTCCAGCTGTGGGGCATCAGGTGTCTCATCAGGCAAATCAATCGAGGAAGATTTTGGCGTTTCATTCAATATATCATCTTCATCAAGTATTTGACTGTTTCTATGAAATACAATTGAAATTCATTTATTAATCACTTAAATTTAAAACATTTCTATTGCCTACCATGCCATTATGTGGTTCTCCCAAGTACATCTAACTAATGGGTTATGCTACTTTTCTCAGACTTAGGAAGACAAAAAAGCAGATTATAGTAGGCTAGAATAAAATATATAGACTAGAATATGTTCCTCATCTTCTGCCCACTCTATCACCATAAAATACATTAATCTTTCCAAAACATGGGCCTAGAAACCACAGCTATTTATAAGATGGGCAATGGCCATCTCTATGAAGGCTTAAGAGTTATTTACTTACTATATAGTATTTGTTCAGATTGTCCATAAAAGTTAAGATCTCCTCCAAGTATCCAAAAAGAAAATGCAAACTGTAAGAACATCAGCTAAGCTAGTTAGGCTCTTGAAGAAAAAAGAAATAAAATCCTGAGGTCAAGTTCACACACAGCTGCTACTGGGGTCCTGGCCAGTGCAGCCACTTGTGAAATCTCCCCAAACTTGTAGTCCGACACAGGAGCATCCACGGTCACATGTGGAACATACCAGCAGAACCAATTACCTCCTACTTGCTGCAAAGTGTGGTAAGATCATCCAAAGTTCTGGATCATTATTCTTTATGTATGCATAGAGATGATCCAACAGACTTATCTTTTTTTTGTTTTTTCATTTTTTTGTTTTTTTTGCGGTACGCGGGTCTCTCACTGCTGTGGCCTCCCCCCCGCCGTGGAGCACAGGCTCCGGACACGCAGGCTCAGCGGCCATGGCTCACAGGCCCAGCCGCTCCGCGGCACGCGGGATCCCCCCAGACCGGGGCATGAACCTGCATCCCCTGCGTCGGCAGGTGGACTCTCAACCACTGTGCCACCAGGGAAGCCCCAGACTTATCTTTTTGAAAATTTGAAAATATAGATGGAAATACCACTCAGAAATAAAAAGAAAAAAAGTATGATATGTACATCAACTTGGATGAATCTCAAAGGCAGTTTGCTAAGTGAAAGAAGCCAGACACAAAAAGTACATATCGTATGAATCCATGCATATGTCATTCTGAAGAGGTAAAGCTACAAGGACAGAAATCAGATCAGAAGTCACCAGAAACAGTGGGTGGCAGAGGGGAATGACCACAAAGAGGCAAGAGGGAATTTTCTGGGGAAATGAAAATGTTCTATATCTCACTGTGGTGGTACTTACATGACTACACAAATTTGTCAAAGTGCATTGAATTATACATTTAAAAGGGGTGAATTTTACTATTGGTAAAATGTTCCTCAGTAAACACTAACATTAAAAAACTTTGTCTAGCTGAGAAAAGAATAATTAATGGCTTGTTTTATTTGTTTTAGTGTATCTTATAGGAATAACCTCCTTCAAAGGCAGACTCGAATTCATGGCAGGAATCAGTCAAAAGAGAACAACTTACTTAGACTAAATTTCCCTGCAACACCACTGTTTTAGTTCATTCAATAAATATTTTTTAAATACCTAGGGTGTGTCAGACACTGTGCCAGGCACTGGGGACTCAGAGTTGAAAATGTATGATTGCATGAAATTGCACTCCCACCACAATATTCAAATCCATTTTACTCACAACACACAGGTGTGCTTCCAAATTCTGATTTTTTTCCTCAAATTTTCTTAATATTTAATTTGAAAAATATTAAGAAACACTCCAGAGAAATGCAATGGCTTTTTACAACTTACAGTGTTACAAATTAAGCAACATCATCCATTCCATTTCTAGTTTTTCTATTCTGGCATAAATTCAAGACTAATACACACACATCCTATAGCCATAGGGAATTTTTATTAATATTTACCAAGAATAAATATAACAACAAAAAAAATCCTATCCCAGAACAAAATTCCAACATTTAGTTTCAAATAGGTCAAAGTGCAAATTATTCTCTTATACTTTTATTTAAATATAAATATTGTCACTGTGATATGGACATATTCTTATATTATCTTCAAATACTTCCTCAAGCAATCAACTATCACAGATTTATAATAGTGTAATCAGAATTTGTTAAAAAATAAAAACTTGGAATTTAATCTAAATACAATATAACACAGGTAAATGAGTTACCCTTTTCTTTGGTAATAGCTATCAAGACATAATTCACATAATCATGAAATTCATGCTGTTAAAGTATAAAATTCAATAGTTTTAGTATATTCCAAAGTTATACAATGATCACCAATATCTAATTTTGGAACATATTCATCACCTCAAAAAGAAATCCCATATGCAACAGCAGTCACTTCCCATTCTCTTCTCCAGCCCCAGCAACTGCTAATCTACTTTCTGTCTCTAGAGATTTACATTTTCAGAAACTTCATATAGATGGAATCATACAAGTTGTTTGTATACAGATGTTTTCAATTCTTTTGGGTACATTCCTAGGAGTGCAATTGCTGTGTCACATGTAATTCTGCGTTTAAAATTTTGAGGAACTGCCAGAATGTGTTCCAAAGAGGCAGTAACACTTTACAACCCACTACCAAAGCATAAGAGTTCCAATCTCTCCACAACCTCATCAACACTTGTTATTATGTCTTTTTTACCATAGCTACCCTACTGAACGTGAAATGGTATCTCATTGTGGCTCTGATTAGCATTTCATGTTGAGCATCTTTTCATGTGCTTATCGGCCAGTCGGGTATTTTCCCTGAAGAAATGTCTACTCAAATTTAGTATGCATTTTGAAATTGGGTTGTCTTTTTATTACTGTGCTGTAAAAGTTCTTTACATAGTCTAGATAGAAGTCCCCTATCAGATATATGACTTGCAAATGTTTTCTCTCCTTCTGTGGGTTGTCTTTTCACTTCCTCGATGGTATCCTTAGAAGCACAGAAGTTTTTAACTGTGATGAAGTCCAATTTATCTATTTTGTTTGCTTGTGCTTTTGTTCTTATATCTAAGAAATCATTGCCTAATCCAAGGTCACAAAAATTTATACTTGTGTTTTTTTCTAAGCATTTCATAGTTTTAGCTCTTATATTAGGTCTCTGGTGCATTTTAAGTTTTTTTTTTCTATGTTGTGAGGTAGGAGTCTAACTTCATTCTTTTGCATTTGTCCCAGCACCACTTATTGAGAAGGCTACTCTTTTCTCCATTTAAATGTTTTGGCACTCTTGTAGAAAATTAATTGGCCATAGTGTAAGGGTTTATATCTGGACCCTCAACTGTATTCCACTGACCTGTATGTCTTTCTTCACACCAGTACTACACTGTCTTGATTACTGTAGCTTTGTAGCAGGTTTTGAAATTATGAAGTGTGAATCTTCCAACTCTTTTCTTCTTTTTAAAGACTGTTTTGGCAATTAAGTTATTCTTAACTCTTAAAGATATATTCCAAGTTATATTTAAATATAAGTTATATATTTTGTCTTTAATACAAAATGTACTGCTAATATGTATGAGCTGGATCTAAAAGTAAGTTTTAAAATAATTATAAATGAATTGTAAACATGCACACTTTCATATTACAATGGCATTTTCATCAACATTTTATTGTTTTGTCCTGTCCAAAATTAAAGTGATTAAAATTAGCTATTTATATGGAATCTAAGTATTAAGAACTTTAACAATTTGAAAGAAAAATGTAACTTGGTACAAAAGATTTACTTTCCTTTCCTCAACAGTGTTTTAAAGAAAATAATCCCTCTAGAGAGAGAATGTTATACTTCCTTATCAGCAATGAAATTCAGATAAAGAAAATGTTATACAATATTTCATTCATGTATTCAAGAAGCCAATGCCTGCTAAGCACCCACTACTGGGGAAGCAATAGGAATGCAAAATTAATGTTGGTCCTTCTATATGAAATACGTCAAAATTTAATTAGCTAAAATCTAAAACTTTTTTTTGGCTTTCTTACTTTGACTTCTCAAAAAAGTATGGATTTTAGTACTTCTCACAGAATAATTTCATAGAAACATATACAGAAAAGAGTGAAAAATGAACACACTAGAGCTGATATATATAGACCCGTATGCTCTCATTGAGTTCATTATGAATGGGATTTATTATACAGAATGTAAACACTACATGAAAAGCATGCTGACATGAGTGAAGTGAGAACCTAAAGAAATGACAAGCTTTTGTATGGTTGTTTTGTTGTTCAAATCTCTTTCTTACATTCATAACTGGTTGGAAGAAAAAATTTACAATGATATCAGGGGTCCTTACAACTGACACAAAGCACATAGGTTTTCTTTTCTGTTCTTATTCAAATTTAAAAATATTTCAACATGTAGAAATATAGAGAAAATATAATGTATGTATTCTATCTACCTATCTATTAATATAAATACTTCTGTATCCACCACCCAAATAGAAACATTTTGTCATATTTGCTCCAGATTAATTATAAATACAATCAAAGCTTCCTCTGTGTCCAGCCTCAATCTTGTTCCTCTCCCTCTCATCCCTTCTTTGAAGGAAAATTATTCTGATTTTATTATTCACATGCATGTCCTTATACTTTTACTACTATATGTATACATCCATTACTTGTGTGTATATATATATACACATAATATATATATTATTCATGAAGTAATCCAAATAATCCATAATACACAGGTATAATATGTAATATATATCTATATACAAACGGTGTATGCTTTATATATATGTAATCTTTTTGTTTGTTTCTTTCCTCAACATTACATTGTGGAGATTTATCCACATTTTAACCTGGAGCTCTCTCTAGTTCATTCACTTTCACTCCATTTTAAAACTACACCAAATTTATTTAGCCACTCTCCAAGTGTCTTCACTATTAGAATGACTGCTATAGTAAGCTTTCTTATACAGTCAGGGAAGTCAGTAAGAGCTATAGTCCTAGTCAGCTTGTATTTGAATTCTCTGTCACATATTAGCTATGTGACCTTGGGCAAGTCTCAAACCTTCTGTGTCTCAGTTTCCTAATCTGTAATATAGGGATTTTAACAGTACCTATTCCTTATAAAGATGGTTGTGAAGATTAAAAAGTTCATACGTGTAAATCTTACACAACAGTACAACAGTGTTTTTATGAGGTAGACACTACAAAATGGAGCTAGTTCTAAAATATATGAGAATCCCAATGGTATCAAAAAATGTCTAAAATATATTTCAATACTTCCACAGTCTAAGACATGGTTCACTCCTCCTTGCTAGAGGATAGCAGCCTTTCTTGTCTGGAGACCAGGCAGCTGCCTCCTAATGGTATACCTGTCATGACGATACTTGCCTTCCTCAAGACCTGCCCTCCCACCCCTCGTGGCTTCTATTCCAATAACGAAGGTCAACTCATCATTGCCTGACTAGAAAAGTACTGTCCCTACTTCAACAGGAAAGCAAATATTTACTAAAGAGCTACAGGACCTGGCTAATATGTACTGACAGAAACCAGAAGAGCATGCCCAAGAATAGATCTTGAAGATGCTAAAACAGGGGATGCAGAATAAAACTGGAAAAAAAACACTGCAACCTGGGATTTAAGGTACTGGCAAGGACACCTGAAGCCAGTCCTAATATACAGCTGAAACGGCTTGTTCATGCTTGGAAAAAGAATATGTTTACAGTAAATAGGGTAGAAATAGAGAATGCCCTGGCATGATACTGAAAAGGGGGTCAATAGGCTCTAAGAGGTGGGCATGCTAAAATGGACTTATTACATGAGACTAGAGAATCCCCCACCTGACCATGTTCCCCAGAAGGGCCCAGAACACTAAGCTATAAGGTACATACTAGTGAGGCAGTGTTGAAGAGCTCAATGGTAACTGCCTCTATAGGTCAATGTTGATGGTAGGAGAGGCTGCCAAGAACAAGGCTCTTTAGCATCAATGGAGATGACAGCATTCTAGAATTGTACAGGCCAGGTGGTTAGCATTTAACCATCAGAGGCTAAGTGGACATTATTTGCATAACAGTCAGCAAAGTTGTAATGGCACTGATCTATAAGCACCATTAACAATGGCTATCCACCCAGCTGGAGATTACATTGCCCAGCTTTCCTTGCAACTCCGTGTAGCCATGTGCCAAACAACCCGATCAAAACGTGGGCAGAAGACTTAAATAGGCATTTTTCCAAAGAAAACATATAGATTACTAACAGGAACATGAAAAGTTGCTTAACATCACTAATTATTAGAGAAATGCAAATCAAAACACCATGAGATATCACTTCACACTTGTCAGAATGGCTATCATCAAAACGTGTACAAATAACAAGTGTTGGTGAGGATGTGGAGAAAAGGGAACCCTTGTGCACTGTTTAAGACTATAAATTGGTGCAGCCACTATGGAAAACACTACAGAGGTTCCTCAAAAAACTAAAAATAGAACTACCATATGATCCAGCAATTCCATTCCTGGCTATGTATCCTAGAAAAACAAAAACACTAATTCGAAAAGATACATGCACCCTGATGTTCATAGCAGCACTATTTACAACAGCCAAGATATGGAAGCAGCCCAAGTGCCCATCAACAGATGAATGGCCTGTTGTTATACAAAGATACATATATATATACATATATATATATATATACACATACACACACGTACACACACACACACACACACACACACACAATGGAATATTACTCATCCATAAAAAAGAATAAAATTCTGCCATTTGCAACAATATGCAGGGACCTAGAGAGTTTTACATTAGTGAAATAAGTCAGACAGGGAAAGACAAATACTGTACATTATCACTTATATGTGGAATCTAAAAAATACAACAAATGAATGTATATAGCAAAACAGAAAGAGACTCACAGATATAGAAAACAAACTAGTGTATACCACTAGGGAGAGGGAAGGGAGATGAGCAAGACAGTGTTATGGGATTAAGAGATAAAAACTACTGTGAATAAAATGGATAAGCGAAAGGATATATTGTACAGCACAGGGAATTACAGCCATCTCTCAGTAATAACTTTAAACGGAGTATAATCTATAAAAATACTGAATCACTATGTTGTACACCTGAAACTAATATAATATTATAAATCAACTATAATTTTTAAAACGACAGAGAATACATCCATCACCCCCAAAAAGTTCCCTTGTGGCCCCCCTTCCTAGTCAATCCTCCAGAAATAAACATTGATGGATTAGTTTTCTTATAATAGAACGTAATATAAATGTAACTATACAGTAGGTATTGTTTTGTGCCTTGCTTCCTCAGGATTTTCTAAATAGACAATCATGTCATCTGCAAATAAAGACAGTTTTGCTTCTTTCTTTCCAGTATGATGCACTTTATTTCTTTTTCTTGCTTTACTGGACTGGCTAGGACCTCCAGTCAACATGGAATAGAAGTTGTGCAAATGGATATCTTTGTTTTGTTCCCAACTGTAGGGAGAGAACTTTTCAATACCTCACTACTAAGTATTTTTTTATAGGAAGGAAATTTCCTTCTTTTCCTAGTTTTCTCTAAGGTTTTTTTAACAAGTATTAAATTTTTGTCACAATTGTTTTTAGGCATCTACTGGAATGACAGTTCTTTAATCTGTTATAGTGAATTTCACTGTTGGTTTTTTTTTATATATATGATAAATTCACCTTGCATTTCTCAGACAAATTTCACTTGGTCATAGTGTATTAAAATCCATTTCACACATTGCTAGGTTTGACTTCTAAATATTTTGTTATAAGGAATGTGGATTTGTATTTACTTTTCTTGTAATGTTCTCGTCTGATTTTGGTATCAGGATTATGGAAGCTTCATAAAATGAGTGGGGAAGTGTACTCTCTTCTACTTTGGAGAACAAAGTATAATATTGGTATTATTTGTACCTTGTAAGTTTAAGAGAAATCACTAGTGAAGTTCCTTGCAGGAAATTCTTAAATCGGGAACTCAATTTCTTTAATGGACATAGGATTCATCAGATTTTCTATTTCTTCCTGTATCAGTTTTGGTAAATTGTGTTTTTCAAGGAATGCATCCATTCATTTAGGCTATCAGTTTTACTGGCATAAAGTTTTACATAATTATTTCTTCATTATTCTTTTAAGGTCTGCAGGATCAGTAGTGATATTGCCTCTTCCATTCCTGATATTGATAATTTGTGTTTTCCAGCTTCTTTTTCTTGGTAAGCCTTGTCAATTTTATCAATTTTATTAGTCTTTTCAGGAAACTAACTTTAGGCTTTGTTGATCTTCTTTGTTATTTGTCTATGTTCTATTTCGTTGGTTTCTAGTCCTATTCTTCTTATTGTTTCCTTTTTTCTGTCTATTTTGGGATTAATTTACTCCTGTTTGTCTATCTTCTTAAAATAGAAGCAAAGGGCATCAGTTTTACCTCTTTCTTCTCTTCTAATATAGGCATTTAATATAAATTTCCCTCAAAGGACTACTTTAGATATATTTCACAAATGTTTTTGCTATGTTTTCAGTATTATTCTGTTCAAAATGTTTTCTCATTGCCCTTGTGATTTCTCTTGGATCCAGAGGTTACCTAGGTATGTGCTGTTTAATTTCAAAACACTTGAAGATTTTCCTAGATATTGCATTTTTATTGATTTTTAAATTTAATACCAGTGCCATCAAAGAACACACTCTATATAATTTTGTCCATCTACTTCTATAGGTCCAGTTTAAGTATTCTATAATTTAAAAGCTAAAACAAAGGCGAATAATCTGCTAATGACTGCCTCAACGAAACTAGCGCATTAATTTCAATTTTACATCAGCTATTTATTGTAACCTCATTTCATCCGTTTCCCTATTCTATATTTTCTGTTATTTTTATAAGAAATAAGAGTTATACAAGCATAATCTAAAACAGAGGTTAATACCTTAAGAAAATTTTAAAAACTAAAAAAAAAGATTAAGAAAACGTAGTCAGTTTCAAATTAACTATCCTGGTTATTGTTAGATGCGAAATATATTCTAAACACAATGGTAAAAGATACAACATATGGAAGCAATCACTATTGAGGCATAAATTTCCAAAATCTAATGTTTTCTAGAAACACACACACACACACACACACACACGCTCACCATGTAAGACCTATCGCCAATATAGTTGAATTCTAGAGTGGTTTCTACTGAAGCTTTTGTGGATGACTGAGGAATTAGATTACAAATACCATTACTTAATTGCATTTCATCAGGAAATCTTACCTTAAAGTACGTTCCACTTCCATTTCAGAATGTGTAGACAAAACACGAAAAATGTATTTGTCAACTAATAAAGAGAAACTATCTCCAGGATTCAACCAGTGCCATAGATTTGTCTTCAATGGTAAGAGCTGGCTCTTCTCAGAAGACTGATAAAAGCACGGATTTGTATGTATCTAACAAATTAAAGAAAAAGAATACAGTGATGTAGTAACTCAAAATCATGACAAAACTACAACTAAATATGAACTGATTCAAAATTTGTGTCAAAACAATTCTAAGTATAAACTTACACTTAAAAGTCTAATAAATCTGGCACTTCTAAGTATCATAATTATTATCTAAACATAAAAAAAATAGTTGTAACATACCTCCCATTGCTCTAGGAATCAAAGAAAAAAGCAAAGTTATCAATTAACTGGTTAAAAGATACTTCTATTTTGTTTGAGAGATGACTGGACATTGGAAAGAGAAACATGAAAAATAATTATCAGTATGTAAACTGAGTCCCCCAATTTTGATATCCAAAATTCACTAATCTCTTGAAAATTCTCTTCTGCTTATTTTCCCCTAATAATTTCTTACTATGATTAAAAAATGAGAAACTATGGGAAGGAAATTCTTGATCAAATTTCTCAAGCAAACATACCTTTTTTCTTTACTCCTCACAGAGGAAACTTCTTATTTTGTTTAAATGAAATTCCCCTCTGAAGATCATCATCCATATTCAAATTGCAAGAGGTAAATATATCTCAATGTCAAAGCTATTACAATATCCCCTATTTTGAATTATGTTTCCACTGATTACCTCATGTTAGCAAAGATAATGAGAGTTGCCTCCATAATTAACACCTATTGAAAGGCATCTTAAAAATTCTAACTAAAATCAAGCTGAATTTAGCCATCTCCAGAATAGCCTTCTTGTCATCTAAACCACTGGGTCTTTTAATAAGCTTTAGCATATACCAAAGCAACCCACATTAATGCAGATCTTCAGTTTTTTAAAAGAATTTTACATAGAGCAACTCCCCCTACCACCCATTCATCTGTCTACTTCATCAGTATAAATGACTTTTTTCTAGAGACATCAACCATCTCTCCATTTAAAGCAAGGTAAATGTCACCCTGAGATTGGACATATGACAAACATTCTCAGTTTTTCTATTTATACTTCATTAAAGTATCTTGAGATACAACTAAATTTTCACACATCAAAACTTTTTCTGATCCCAACCATTTAATATATCTATAGGCGTTAAGATATGTTTTATTCACCCTGAGTTTGAACAGACTAGAAATGAGTATAAATTCAGTAGGTAAAAACTTCTGTTCCTACTGTAAAAAATATTCATTATGGAAAAATTAAGGAAGCTTATAATAGTCCTCTTTTTAATGTATTTTGAAATTCTAGAAATGCATCAGTATTTTTTTTTCTTTTTACCCCTCAAAAACTTTCTTTTCATTGGGAAACTTGGTTAAAATTTTTATTAAATATAGTTACTTTCATTTTTTAAAAATCTTAATCATTTATGGAATATAAACTAAGTAAGATATAAACAAGTCTAGAATATTGTTATAAAACATGAAGCAAATAATGTTAAGTTAGGTAGATTACTTTGCATTATAATTTATTTTTCATTTGTTTTTATTTCTTAAAATGCCTATTTCTATGGAAAAAGAATAGGGTATTTCAAGCGTAAATACAGGATATTCTGATTTAGTTTCGATTATATATTAAAACACACCAAAATATCCACAAACTTTTACTGAACATCTACAACATTCTTTCATTCCATTCAAATGTCAAGCCCCAGATCATTTACCTCTGAAGTATCCCGAGTCCATCTCTCTTTAGCATTTGCAGTCACTGCCCTAGTTCAAACTCTTACCCACTGCTTGCATTTCTTGCTTATGCTAACATCATATCAAGTCTCCCTGATTTCCTTTACCTCACTGCTTCCTAAGTTATTTTTTTACATTTCCCTACATAAGGCCTCTGATGCTTCTCCAATATAAGCAAAGCATAGCAGTGAAGGCTCTTCATAAATCTACAGTGGTTTGCAACCTCATCTCTCACCTTCATACACCAAAATCTTCACCCTATACATACAATCTTTGATCCAATCATTGAGACCTACTCAAAAATGCTCTTTTGTTTACTACAGCCTCAGTAATGTCTTATCCCACCCCACCTTTCTGCTTGAACTATTGGAACCAGTCCCTATCAGTTCAAAGATAGTCATCTGATAAATCACCACTAGACTCCAAGGTCCATGGGTGCAGGTAACTACCTAACACAGTTCTAACAGTCTACGATTAAAATGACTACAGAAGCCTCTAGCAGCAGGAAGAATCAATGATATTTCAACTGTCAATCATTAGTGAATAATCTCAGGAACGGTTCCAAATAGTGCACTATAAGAAGTGAGGCTTGAAGTCTAATGTACTTAATAAAAATGCTACCTGTTGAATCACTTAAATAGAGTCACCCCTAAAACTGTTTGACTGCATTCTCTATAAGATGTCATATTAAATGATTTTTTAAAATTATAATCGGTACAATTAGGTAAACTAAATTTCAAACAGAATCCACTTTCATCTGCTAAAAAGCTCCTGGAAGCAAGCAGCTCGGCACGTGAGCTTACTGGCTTTCAAAATCCCAAGAAAATCACAAAAGTAACTTTAGTTGTCACTTCACATGACTTCTTCTGATCAAATACCATAATATACTTTTTTAAAAAAATTATTTACTTATTTATTTTCATTTGATGACTTGAATAATATATATATATATTTTATACAGAAGGTTCTTATTAGTCATCCATTTTATGAGCATCAGTATATACATGTCAATCCCAATCACCCAATTCATCACACCACCACCCCCACCACCCGCTGCTTTCCCCTCTTGGTGTCCGTACGTTTGTTCTCTGCATCTGTGTCTCAATTTCTGTCCTGCACACCAGTTCATCTGTACCATTTTTCTAGGTTCCACATATGTGCGTTAATATACGATATTTGTTTTTCTCTTTCTGATTTACTTCACTCTGTATGACAGTCTCTAGATCCATCCACGTCTCAACAAATGACCCAATTTGTTCCTTTTTATGGCTGAGTAATATGCCATTGTATATATGTACCACATCTTCATTATCCATTCATCTGTTGATGGGCAGTTAGGTTGCTTCCACGACCTGGCTATTGTAAATAGTGCTGCAATGAACATTGGGGTGCATGTGTCTTTTTTTTTTTTTTGTGGTACACAGGCCTCTCATTGTTGTGGCCTCTCCCATTGCGGAGCACAGGCTCCGGACGTGCAGGCTTAGTGGCCATGGCTCACGGGCCCAGCCGCTCCACGGCACGTGGGATCATCCCAGACCGGGGCACGAACCCGTGTCCCCTGCATCGGCAGACGGACTCTCAACCACTGCGCCACCAAGGAAGCCCTACATGTATCTTTTTGAATTATGGTTTTCTCTGGGTATATGCCCAGTAGTGGGACTGCTGGGTCGTATGGTAATTCGATTTTTAGTTTTTTAAGGAACCTCCATACTGTTCTCCATAGTGGCTGTATCAATTTACATTCCCACCAACAGTGCAAGAGGGTTCCCTTTTCTCCACATCCTCTCCAGCATTTGTTGTTCGTAGATTTTCTGATGATGCCCTTTCTAACTGGTGTGAGGTGATACCTCATTGTAGTTTTGGTTTGCATTTCTCTAATAATTAGTGATGTTGAGCAGTTTTTCATGTGCTTCTTGGCCATCTGTATGTCTTCTTTGGAGAAATGTCTATTTAAGTATTCTGCCCATTTTTGGATTGGGTTGTTTGTTTTTTTAATATTGAGCTCCATGAGCTGTTTATATATTTTGGAGGTTAATCCTTTGCCCATTGATTCATTTGCAAATATTTTCTCCCATTCGGAGGGTTGTCTTTTCGTCTTGTTTATGATTTCCTTTGCTGTGCAAAAGCTTTAAGTTTCATTAGGTCCCATTTGTTTATTTTTGTTTTTATTTCCATTACTCTAGGAGGTGGATCAAAAAAGATCTTGCTGTGATTTATGTCAAAGAGTTTTCTTCCTATGTTTTCCTCTAAGAGTTTTATAGTGTCTGGTCTTACATTTAGGTCTCTAATCCATTTTGAGTTTATTTTTGTGTATGGTGTTAGGGAGTGTTCTAATTTCATTCTTTTACATGTAGCTGTCCAGTTTTCCCAGCACCACTTACTGAAGAGACTGTCTTTTCTCCACTGTATGTCCTTGCCTCCTTTGTCATAGATTAGTTGACCATAGGTGCATGGGTTTATCTCTGGGCTTTCTATCTTGTTCCATTGATCTATGTTTCTGTTTTTGTGCCAGTACCATATTGTCTTGATTACTGTAGTTTTATAGTATAGTCTGAACTCAGGGAGTCTGATTCCTCCAGCTCCATTTTTTTCCCTCAAGACCGCTTTGGCTATTCAGGGTCTTTTGGGTCCCCATACAAATTTTAAGATTTTTTGTTCTAGTTCCATAAAAAATGCCATTGGTAACTTGATAGGGATTGCATTGAATCTGTAGATTGCTTTGCGTAGTATAGTCATTTTCACAATACTGATTCTTCTAATCCAAGAGCATACGATAATATACTTTTAAATTAACCACAGAATCATGGAATTTGGGGAAAGGAACCAAAAACTACTTAGCTAAATTAGGAAAGAAAATAACTACATTTTAGACGCTAAACCATCTAAACAGTACATTTAACCAAGGCCTGGGGCAGGCTGGTGAGACTAATACAGAATAGGGAATGTTAAAGCAAAAGCTGCCAGGAAAATAAGCACTGTTACCTACATGCTCAAATTAAAGAAAAAGAAAAAAAAAGACAATTCTGAAAGCTGCAATGAATATAGTCTATCTAGTTCTGGCAATTAAAATTCATGAGGATCTGGTTAAGTCCTTCCTAGGTGTTTCTGCAATTGGAAACATTTCTATTTCCTTTAAGTCTGTGTTAAAAGAAAGCAGTAAAATAAAATTTGGAGAGAAAGGGTAGAAGTAGAAGTTAAAAACAGAGGCTATATAAATTTGGTAGGCAATTATTTCATTGGTCAGTCATTTTATAAACTATATTAATATAAAATTTTATAAACAAGATGGCATAACAATGGAGATGCAGTGTAATTTATGCAACATCATATTCCT